AAAATCTCAGCTCCTTGCGATGAAATCCGGAAACACTTTGACAGCTCCGATCCGAGCATAGAATCGCCCAAATGCTTTTCGTGTTTTTCTGATGATGGTTGCTGTCTCTGGATGCCAAAGAAGTGTGTGACTAAGCGCCGTGGTGTTTTAGCTGCATCAGGCAACTGTTTTAAACACAGTGAAAAATCTTAGTATAACATAGAAATGTTTCCGTGATAYATGTGTAGCAGATACAGCCATTAGTTTTAGCATTATGTTAAGTCATGTAGGAGGATCACCTTATCCATTAATCTTACAGGAGATTTCACATTCACTACATTCACCACATTCACTGCAATCTTGGGGAGATAAATAATTTTTTTTCCTCTGACATTAAAGCTTGTGCTTACTAACTACATAGAAAATAAAACCTTGGGATATTAGCTAAAAAAATGGAGTGGAAAATTTTKCTGAAACTGTGTATAAGCACTGTACGACAAGTGTATCTTTTGTGTTACACACTTACGGCCTTGGCTCCTTCACATCATCCATCTCATTTAAATCCCCTTTTGCTGGTCCAGCACATCTACTGTTTCACATTTTTATCTATGTACCTTTCTTCCTCCTCATTTCCATAATACTGCATTTTCTAGATATGCTCCAGGTCTTTTCTAAATACATCAGAATACATCAGCAGGTTTAGATGTGCTCTTTGCATCTCCTTCCTCTCTATGCTGTTCCTCAAAGAGCAGATGTTCGACTTTAGCAATGCTCAAGTCCTAAGCCTTTTCTTGGTTCCTTGCTTTGCATTTTATTTAGGGCTGTCCATATGTTTTGCAATTCTTTCATTGCAATTTCCATGCTGAGTCTAAAGATTTTATACCATTTCACACAGGGTGCTGCCAACTCATTTCCTCTTTTTTTTTTTTCAAACTCCTTTTCATGGTTTGGTTTTGTATTCCTTTAATTTTTATTACTTTTCTCTATGGGTTAATTAATATGTAATTAAGTTATCCTTATAGTTAGTTACACCTTCTCTATGTTACTTCAGTAATTTCTTTTAAATTAGTCTTTTATTTAGACAGTCTGGCTGCTCCTTGTTATTATCTGCTAAAGTATCTGAGCTGTGGAAAAGCTCAGTAGTGCAGCATGGAGGGAGGTTGCTTTCCCCCTTGTCTGTGGTGCAYCCAGTGACTGGAGAACCTCACATACTTCACAGGGCAGGTACAGCACTGCCTCAGACTCCTCTGAGTCTCTGGGAATTTATGATTCAGCACAGGACTGAGGCAGATGCAGAGCCGTTGTATTTTTTCAGCCCCTAAAAATTTTCCAGTGAATGCATCAGTTTTTTGAATGCATAAACTTTTATCAACAAGAAAACTTAATTGTGTGTGTGYGGAACTACCTCACTTTGTTAATTTTAAACCTGCTGCCTGCTAGTTTTGTCTGATCCCTTCCAAGTCTTGTGATAGAAGTGCACTGTATTTCGTACATCTCTCTCTCCTTTCCCTTTCACTCCTCCTGTCCATTTTCTAGGTTGCAGGTTCCTTATCTTTTTGTGCCTTTTGTGGGAGCAGTTCCACCTCCTTGATCAGGCCTGACATTTTCCTCTGTATTCTCATTGAATACAGAAAATTGAGGTACTGAGTAATTATTCCATGCAAGATTTTCGAAATGGGGTAAAGTGTTTATTGTTTTCCATGACCCTTTCGTGTCTGCTGGAAAGCAGCAGGAAGGGCWGGGATGTGTTTGCACTCACACACCTCATTCTGCTTGTCTTCAGACTTCCTGCCTAGATGCTTCCTGCTGTCGGTGAAATAAGTTTTGCCCTTCAGACAATAAAGCTCTAACTGTATATGGGAACCTGGGAGTGCTTCCAAATTCCCAGGTCTGGCTGTGCCCTCTGGCTACATCCTGTCCCATATTGTGATGAGATCCAGCACCCGTCAGCCCAACTRCTGTCTTTGCTCTTGTTTCCTCGGGAGATAAACCCTGGGTATACAGTCCATACAGGAGTATTAAAATGAAAGAACGTATGGTTTTATCAGTAACATTTAAATCCAGCTTGATAAAATAAATTAACATGAGTTGGTTCTTGCAGAGATGGGACTTAGTTGCAATCCTAAATTCAAGGGACCCCAGGATTCTGGAGCAGTTTATATCTAAGTCTGGAGCAGTTTATGTCTAAGTCTGGAGCAGTTTATGTCTAAGTCTGGAGCAGATATACTTTCTTCTTCAATAATTTTTGTACAGCTATGAAATGTCTGCATGTTGTCTTTCTCTTGCTGGTAGAGGAAGAAGTATCTGAAATAAGTGGCTTTATTGATATGAAAATATATATAATATATTTGATATGTAAAATGATTATTTGCTGTAACTCTTACTCAAAAAAAGTAATTTATTATATAAATTTAATATTTATTTACATTCACATAAGGACTCATTAGTTCATAAATTGCTTTTTTGATTCCATTTGAGAGGCAATGGATTTTGTTCTCTGCTGCATTTCTGGACTGACAATCCTCTGTTTTCACAGCACAGGTGGAACACCAACACAGTCAGTGTAAGATTCCTCACGCTTCCTTGTCCRTGCATTTTGGCCCTGGCCTTTCAGGTCACTTCTGCAAGTACAAGAGGAGCACAGCCTCACCTAACCACGCTCCTGAGGCTGTCAACGAGGGAAGCACCTTAGTTCATTAAGGAAGAGCTGGATTTTTGTTTGCTCCCTCCACTGACAGACAGGCTTAAACATTTTGATGACAAACGAAGTGCTATTCTTAGCGTTCTTTGTCTTTTCTTCACTTTCTAATAAAATTCATTTTTTTCTTCATTACCAGGACTCACAGATACTTTATTTCACATTCCCCGGCACTGGGCAGTCAGCCAAAAGCTGGCTTCCCTCTCTGTCGGGCACAGGCATGCCGCAGCCATCGGCCGGTTTTTGCAGTGGTTGCTCTTTCTTATGCTGCTTTTTCCGCTCCACAGCAGTACGCAAGGCCTGAAGAATCAAAGCTTTGTTGTTCTGGACGTTGTAGTAACTGAGATTCACCAGTTTCTCAAAGTTTTTCTCAGAATAGCTCAGATTGTTTATGTAATACGGGCCACAGTCATTGGTAACATCAACATCACCCTCTGCCATCTCCGAGGGACTACGCTTCACACCTGACAGACAAACAATGGCTTGGTTAATTTGCAAAAGACAATTAGGGTCTGGGTGTTTCCCAAGCATGCACAAGTAGTGGATCACAACCCTAACGTAAATTAGTTTTTTACGCGATTCTGCACCAGTGTGACACAGTATTTGGGCAGGCTGAACGTCTATCTATCTGCTGGCACACAGGAAAAACAGATTCTTGGAAGGGCAGAGATTAAGGTCAATTAATTTTGTTGGATTCTGAAGATTACTGGATTCCAGTACATGCTAAAGGACAGCTGAAGWTCCAGCTCTGGGCAGAGACCCGAAGTCGTGGAGATCCACCGCTGTGTGTGGTCGGTACACCCGTGTCACAGTTTCGCAGCAGCAGCAGCTGACAGCACTGCTCACTGCACCCTGACCATGGGATGGGGGAAAGAGTCAGAAGAGCAAAGTGAGAAAGCTTTGGGTGGAGATAAAGASAGTTTAAWGGGGCAGAAAAGGAAGAACAACTTCTTATTCCAAATCCCAAATRTAGCACTATGCCAGCTGCTAAGAAGAAACTGCTGAGAGTAACTGAGACTTTGGTACCGTAACAGAGTAGTATGGCATGTGGGACATGGTACCAGGATTTAGATTTCATCTGCTTAGAAGTGACTGGCAATGTTGCTATTGAAACTTTAGATTTCAAAGGGAACAGAGACTGTTGGAATGGTTCAGTGCTGTACTTTCATTACTTCACTATGCCTCACTCTACATTTTCATCACTTTGCTAGTTCATGCTTTCGTTTTCAAGGTTATCTGCCTAACTGTAGGCCTGCAAATTATTTTAAGCAAYGAAATCCTYAGACTCCTCAGAGCATTTTCTATCWAGAGAGGATGACAAGTATGAGATGAAATTACCCCTGCTAATTTCTGCTGCTGCAGATAAACAGAATATTCTTTTCTTCGATTAACTACAATCTGCTTGTGAAAAGTCAAAAAAATCTGAAGAGGCAAATATGTGCCAAAGGCTGATCCTGTGTGAGAAGGAAGGAAGGAAGGAAGGAAGGAAGGAAGGAAGGAAGGAAGGAAGGAAGGAAGGAAGGA